CAGTAGGAGAGCAATTCAAAGCAGACTTGCAAGATCTTGTCTCAAAGTTTCCGCTTTATGGCCACGTCACTTCGCTCACCAGGTACAGGGAAAAAAAACAAGGCATTCATATTGGACCTAATATTCACTAATGAAGTACTCATGATCGCGAGAGTTATCATCGATACTCCTCTAGGCCGCAGTGAGTGTGTAACAGCATTTTATGTACACATGCTGCACTGAATAGTCTGAGGACAGAATTCAAACGATACGGACCAGAATCAGCTGCGACACCTTAACTCGTTGAAGCGACCGACTGGAGTTTCCTAACCGAGGATGCACCCGATAATGCCTGGAAACATTTCGCCAGTAAGTTGAACACTTTGGTCAGTAAGGTATCGGAAATTAAAGCTATCATTTTGAGAAACGGCGTCGTTTATACGGTAAGACATCAATGCATGGTTATGCGTAACGCGGCATGGCATGCCCACAAAACGGATCCGAGTACTTGGAAGGTCTAAGTTGTTCATCATTGTAGCCAACTAGTGCGCGAGTACAAAGTGGCATATCAAGAGGCTTTAGCCGAGGGATTTGCTTCAAAGCATAAGCTTCTGTACAAGCACGTAAAAAGCCTTAGTGGATTTCCCCCTCTTCAGACAGCGGATTTTCTAACTCGGACTGTCAAAGAATCGTCGAATGTCCTGCAACAACAATATGCACCAACGTTTCATTGTATCCCGTAGTCTCCTGAACCTGTGGAAACTATGGTGCCCACAGCAGAATTCACTCATATAAATTTTACGGCAGACATCGTGATGAGAAAGCTGCTATCCATGCGCCTGCACGCCTGTCCCGGAATTGAAGACATCTATCTAAAGACGTTTGTTGTGATGGTTAACATTTTGGCTCAACAATTGGCACGGCTGTTCCAGCACTCCCTTGATGAGAGGTGCATACCTGTAATGTAACAGCATGGGATAATAACGCCAATTTGTAAAGGAGGTAATCGTTCAGACACAGCCAAATATCGACCAGTCATTCTTCTTCCAGTTCTTATACAGTTATTGAGGCTATCATTACTGACGCCTTTATGTCTTACCTGGATATTGCAGAGCAACAACACGGCTTCCGCCAGGATCAGGCGTGCACCATCAATCCATTAGCACGAACAGCTGGACTAAAACGGTAGATGCAGATACAGGAATTGATGAGGCTTACCTTGATTTCTCTAAGGCAATCGAAAGGCAAGAACATCGTATCTTTCTCACCAAACTTCAAGGATGTGGCATTAGTGGACCTCTCCTCGGGTGGATCTACAATTTTCACTCGCGCATGCGTCTGGAGGTAAGTGCGTGTATCCATTTCTGACCTAATTCACATCGAATGCAGTGTGAAACAGGGTTCGGTAATTGGGTCCCGTCTATTCTTGGTCTTCATTATCGATCTAGTGAGTCAAATCGCGTCAAGATGTTTACTCTACGCCGATGGTATCAAAGTTTGGCGAGCGAGCAGAGCTACAGAAGACCCTGTTATTTCGGTCCCCACGTTAGCCGTGTTCAAAACTTGTATTTAATGTCTAATGGGCAGACAAAAGCATTTTAATAGGATGCGCTGAATTCAGGTATTTCGAGTATTCCCATCAGCCGTTTATATACATTCCATGAAAATATCACGTTGCACACAAAGAGAAGCAATGTGCAAAGTCACTCAGTTAAAACAAAAATGATCAATATCCTCAACAAGGAAAGGGTGCCGTGAATTCAATTTGTTTGCACAGATTGGGTTTCAACAGCCGAACAGGGAAAACAAACGGGGATTGCTCTGTCAGTCAATTACTTTGAACGATTCGCGAGGACTTTGGTGCGTATTGCAGTCTAGTATGTCGCAATAGAACTAGCCGGCAGTTTGAGACCGTTGGCGACCATATTACGTGGAATGTGATCTGTAATCCCAGTGGACAACCCCATCTCAGTTCATCCAACGTACTTGATACCACAGGTACGGTGGAATAGGTAAACACAAGAGGTAACATGACAGCGCGGCTAGTTCAGGTTGGATCTACAGAACACGGTGTACGTTTTGATGCGCGCCTCAGAAAGGAACCTTCACACTTCAAGCAAATTAGATGGAAGAAGCAGTTCATCCAATAACTTGGTGCCTCCAGCTAGATAGACGCAGTTACTAAGACTGGTAGTACGACTTCTTATTCCAACAGGCAACTGGTTTCTTGAATCAGTTCATAAGTGAAAATACACGATGAATTGTTTGTGTCGCTGTGTAGTTTATTATATAAGGTGACGGATAACTGCCTAAAAGCAGGGTGAGTTGATGAAGCTAAAGAGTGAGTGTCATCTGGGGACGTAATTAAAGGTGACCGAAATCCATGGAGTGACACTAAATCGAGTAAAAATGTTGCAGACGATAGAGTAGGGTTTGGCCAGTGTCAAAGGGCTAGATATGAACGGGCGTGGTTTACGTTAGTGCGGCCGAGATACGGCATGAACTGGTTACCATTAGCGACATGATGAGTAGGTACAGGAAAAAGCGTTGTCCTGAGACAGAGGGAGAGGCCGACTAGGGCAATCATGTCAAGGGTCACATGGAGAAAGGTTGAGTTATGGATGAAGTTTATCTTTGGTGGTTTCTGAACCGGCTATGCAGGCGTGTCTCGCACTGCCGAGAATAAATTATTTATTTATTTAAGATGCAGCGTCTTCTGATGCAATCGTTTAGCATATTTCCGAAATTTGGCTGGAATTCATTGTGGCCTTAGAGGGACTCGAGTTATACGGTTTCTTACACGCTCCTAAGTGATGTACCATTGTAATATGCCAGAACAGGCGAGTAGACTGTTTCGGCCAAGTAAACAACAAACCGGACAACATACCCCTAACAAAAAGATGAATGCCGAAAGCGCGGAATATTACAGTCAACCGGTTCAGAGGAAGTGAGAGTTTCACAGAAGTTGCATATGCTTCTGGGCCAAGCGACAAGAACAATATTTTGTTGTGCAAAATAAACGCATGTTTCATGGGTTTATGGGAACATCCCTAGTCTGTAAACGCTCACCTGTAGTCAATTGCACCAATCACTCGGAACAAGCTGGTTGCTGGCTTTTTTGGGCACAGTTACAAAGTTCGTGGCGCTGTCTGAATTGTTAGCCGAACCCTGGGTTTTATTCGGAGTAGTTTGCCTGTAACCCTAACACTTTGGTACAAAATACCGGACATCATCGTTCACGCATCAGAAGCAGCGACGTGGAGTAGACATCTGTGGTAATTACGATCTGAGTTAAACGATGCACAGTTGATCAATACGCAATTGTTTTGCGTGCTTGCTTCAAGGATTTTTAACACTAAAATCAACAAAGCGAACTTAGAGCGATAGCATGGTTTCCTGTTGACCTGCACGACATTGAGCGCAAATGTTGGAGGACAAAATGTGAACGGAGATCGTTTGTCCGAGAAACGATCCAGGTGCACATGTAGTGAAATCAACGGGATCACCATGTGGAGAGTTGCAATGTAGATGAAAACGAAGGGAGAGATTGAAGAATCAGGGACGAGAAATTGCTATCGAGAACTACTCAACAGATAGCTAAATAGGGTTTTAGTTCAACAGTCTACACCATCAAAAGGCAGTGCACGTAGGCCCAGTTAAGAAGTGAAAATGAGAAACCTCATGGAGATCGGCTTAAAGGGGGACATATGTAATTTGTGAACTTTAAAAACAGAATACATGAGTTGCAGCGTAAGCCACTGAGTCTTTTTATGCTTGGTCCTTTCATGTAAGGTTATTAGCACGAGCAATACATTCTGCGAGGAATTTCTTTTATCAGAAATCATCCCAGTGTCATATTTCGAGCGCAGGTGGTATATACATACACACACAAACACCGTCTACCATTTTCTGTCTCCCGGTGACCACAAACAACAAAACATTTACAAAGAAAATAAAAATTAAAAAAAATAATTTGGGAGATAACGGATTAAACTTCTGTAGTTCGTCCAACGAATATCACGTCCTTTTCCTCCCATCGGAATGACCGTACATCATACAAGGCTCGTTTGTAATCAGAATAGCCTTGAATAAGTGAACTGAAGAAGTGGGCCTTTTGTAACATGATACCTAGCCAGGAGCCTCTTCAGTTGCATGGGGATGTTCAAGGTTGAAGCCGCTGGCATGAAGGAGTTTTTCCGTCAAGAGCGAAACGCTGTCATAGTCAAAACTTCAAAAATTGATTATATGCGAAACATTCTGAAATCATGTTTCAGGTTGATTTTGATGCAAGTCGATTCCATTACACGGTGCAATGCGGTAATCGCATGTGAACAAATACACATCAGTGGGACTGAAAAAGTAGCGTATGCTCCGGAAGTAGTAGAAATTCAGTTGTGCCACGCTGTATACCGGTCGAATTCACCAGAAGTAAGCCACAACGAATGCGCGATGAGAGATCACGAGTGGCCCATTTCAAAAAGCCGACCAGGTGACTTCGATTTGGCGAGAATACTCCAAAGACGCGGAGAAATGGCGGGTATCATTTTCGAAAGTTACGGGTTAGATGGCTCTGAACACTAGCGGACGAAATTGATAAAAAAAACCATTTCCAAAGCCCCGATATGGTGCAGTTATTGTGCTAGAGTCCTACAAAGTTTGTAGGATTATGCTGAAGTATCTTCCCCAAAGAAGATCAAGCAGTACAAAATATCGAAACGCAGTTTCGACATTTGAAAGATCCATTTAGGCGAACCACTGACTCCCTTGTGAAGGCAGTGAAAGTAAAAAAAGAACAAATAAACTGTAATTATCACGAACGATAAATCAACAAATCATGATAAGAATAAAAGACCCCCCACTGATACAAAGTGCGAAAGGGCATATCAGACATTGTCAAGCAGGCTCAAAATGAATGAAACGGCTAAGGAGGACTGGAGATATATGAAAGGAAGAAGGATATCGTGTATTATGCAGACTCTGGAATGCACAAACGACGTCGGGATAAATGATCCTTGAGGCGATTAGTCACGGAACTTCCGACTGGTGTTCACTCCAAACAATATTTCACGGAGCCGAGGCATCAATTGCTCGCTAACTTGTTCCAATCTGCTTTCCAGCGTGTTCACCGTCTTAATGCGGCCATTTTTGTTGGACATCTCGATACCACCAGCGCTGAGTATAGGAGGAGAGCAAACGAGTCTCACATTGAAATGATCAGGGGAGACCAAGAGCTATGGCTAGAAACTCGAGATCAGAAATGTGACATGCCTAGAAGACCGTGATTAAAATAAAAATGTAACGGGTTCTATCGGATTGAAATGAGCCTACAAAGGCACAAACTCGAGTGGATACTACATCTAGAGGTTCCTCCGGTGCAGTTAAATACATAGTCGATCAGAGCATTTTGGAGCAGAAGTTGTTAGCGGCGGATTTTTGGCGGGATACAAGCTGTTTTAATAAGAGACGGATCTATAACGCTGCGGTGCGACGCGTGTTACCGCAGGGATGAAAAACAAAGCCCACGTGCTGTGAGGACGTTAAGGGACCGGTTTTGGCCCCTGTGAAGTGTTGTTGATCGTGTTTAGTGAGAGAGCGCAGTAAGCAATAACGAGGTTCGCCAAGTAGTATTTGGCAAGGGACCTTGATGTACTGCGCTGGAGTGGCTGTTGAATTTGCACCCCATATGTTAGCCAAGCCATGTCCTACACGTTATGTCAAGGTGGATCAATTACAAACACTGCAAATAGTTGGGTGAAATTCCGAGGCGGGTACCAAAATACATGGGATAAGAGAAGAAAGTACCACATAGAGTAGTCAAGAAAAATAATTGGTTGTCATCTTGCTGAAGATGAATCGTGTTCAGGCATAGCAGAGGTTTAATACCCTATAGCAAATGGCACGGTAACGAAGTCGGTGGCGCTCTTGTGTCGGTTCTCCTATACCCAACTCTGCACTAAACCATATGACGATTGTAATCCTTTCCACTATCACTAATGTAGAGACGTAAGCTAAGGCAAAAGGATAACCCGTAACTTAGTGCACGGACCATAGCTAATCGGCTGAACCGAAACCAGCTGCCTAACAATGTGTATCAGCTAGACACAAATCAACGTCTCGTCAAAAGGTGTAACAAACAAGCGAAGTATTAGATGGTTATTAGAGTATTATTATTAGATGAAAGTAAGAACCAAAACGCAGCGGCGTTAACCCCGATATAAAACTTTAGAATGAATAAAATGAAGTAATCGAGGAAAGAAGAGATAAGGAATGACATGAAACCCACGCGCATAAAGATGCGGGCGTAAAAACCGATCGCTCACCAATCATCCGACAAATATTCGTTGGAAATAGCAACGGAGCATTTGCTGCCTGTCTTCTTTTGATACTCAGCCACACACGATGGGAGCAAGGACTACAGACAGAGAAAACAAGTATGCGCATGTAAATTATGAAGATTTATTCTCCAAGAGCTTCAGATGAGCAAAAACTGTCAGACTGCTGTTCGTATTGCGAATTACAGATCCACAAATTTGCAAATTTCCTTTCCCACTAGTTAGCATATTATTTTACTTTATCTTCGTTATGCCCTTTGTGCACAACCACACGGACTATAAAGCACGACCGAGAGATTTGTTTATTCGCATCACTGCGCTTAACTGAAGCACCGTCCAAGTGGTTCATTGTCAAGCACTTCACCGTTGACGTGCTGGCCGCCGCTGTCCCTCTCATCGCTGCCCCAAATTCACGGTTGCCCCAGTTCATCGCTGACCGGAAATACAGACTGCTGGGATTGTTTTGATTCAGTGCTGGGCAACAGTGAGGCTACGTCTACAAACCTAGCCTTAAGTCATTTACTGCCATAAAACCACGTTTACGATTTACGAAACATCGAGTTTTGCTCCTTTTGTCCTGGGAATTAAGCTATGCGCAAAACTAGGCTTATTAAGTGCAATGTTTCATTTAGTGTTACAGGTATTGCACTGCGGCATTACTGATGAGCCTGAAGTGCTTCATCAGACAAAGGAAAACCCTGATACGCAGTGCTCAATCCTCCTACATCGTGGTGTTGCCACGGTATAAATGGAAAATTGCGCACCACCACTGAGGACTCGTGTGATAACTAAAATGCAGCAACTTTCTGCAGTAGAACGCTGAGTTGCAACGGAAATAGGCGAACTTCCCCAAACACTTGATGTTAGTTCGTGACACGCACACTGCCAGATGGACAAAAGCAGCTCACTGGCTAACCGCAGCAGCCCGGGAGTGACACCAACAAACGCTAGCCAGCTCTAAGCAGTCGTAGGTGGATGCCTAGAAGATACTTGATGGCTCGGTTATTCATCGTTTCCGATCCCATTATCTTCAGGCTGCAAATCTGGAGGCGGTGCGAAAAAGCGTAGGCTGTTCTTGGGATCTGTTTTGTCCATCCGGAAAGCAGAATCTTTCCACGGGAATCTATGATGTGAAATCTTTGTTAAATTACAGCAGTGCAGCCGAATTTATGACTGCGTGTTATTCAGATCACAGGGCCCAGTTGGCGTTGGCTTTATCCACCCAGTAAATTGCCAGCACGTGAATCTAATGTCACAATATTTCACAGATGCTTATCGCCCATGCAAAAGCTTGTTTACTTTTGTACATATGGATCTGCACCGACAGAGAGGTAGTTTCTCAGGTCATGAGAAATATACTTTTAATTGTTTTTGTTATCATTATTACACCCGGCTAATATGCGTGTGAAGTATTTGACCCATGGTCCGACCGTTTTCGGTTAACCAGAAAAGTAATCCCCATCCAATCGGAAAGGACACTGTCATCGCACCATGCCACTGGTGAGTCAAGTTTATATGTGAAAAATATTTTTGGACGCGACTCCAATTAATGATTAAAAAGACAGTGTAGCCGGACATATGTTTCCGGTAATTCTTCAATAGGACTGTGTAGTTATTTACAGAGCAGATCGGTCTGAACCCGTTAAAGGTGAGCCCACTGCTTATCAGATGCCGATAATCGCAGTTAACCAGGCGAGGGTCTCAGTCCGTACACGATTCCACGGAGTAGAAGTCGCAAGCTGATCGGGACATGGCGGCATCAAGGCTTGAATTGTTCATACAGCCGAATCGTGATGCCGTCAACAGTTTTTAGTAGTTGTCTGCACGCCCAGCTCGATCGATTTTAGGCGAGATCTGGTAGATCAATTCGAGTGAGTCGGCTCATTTGGGCTTGCGCCCGGTGTAGGCGGAAGGAGTAACAATGGAGAAGATGCATACTTTTCTGATTCCAGCCGCTAGCCATACCGGATGTTGCTTTATTCTGTCGGATAGACGAGTAGTTGTATGACCAATGTCTCCTGAATCGCAGTGGTAGGTGAATGAGTAGACTCTGAGTTGTAGCGATCAAGCTCTCTATGATTGAAGTTAAGCTTTACCACCGGGTTGCTGGTGAACTGGATATACAGTTGTGCGCTGAGAACCTGCTGCTGTGATTCTCTAACCCTCTCCATACCGCTGAGATTTCCCACTGAAATCGCAATATATCAATCTTGAGGCAAAAAAACCTACTAAGCAGTTTGTTACAGGCATTTTGTATAGTAGGTTTATTATCTCGCTTTTTTGTATATTCTATCGTTTTTGTAATGCGGCACAATAGTTGAAGTGTGTAGAAGGTAATGTGATGATGTGCATATTCCATACTCGTGACGCTGTAACAACCGCTGTCGAGTCGCTTTGGGCCTGCGTCAAGAAAGTGCAGTCATATTGCTTCTACTTTCGCGTTGAACTGAATCGCTCTATAGGCTCGGTTGAGTGATGACAAAATCCATGACATTTTGAGAAAACGTCGTCAACATAACGGTAGTTGATTTTACACTACCTATGAAAATATCAGGGAAATGCGGCCAAGGTAGGGAACCTATCGTCATACTAATTCGCTACAGTCTATTTCACAGTGTAATATAAATTGGAGGTCAGTCGCGCATTCATGCAATGCTTGACTCAGGGTTACAAAGAGTATGTTGATGTCCATCCGGCTCTGTTTGCAAACGATGTGGTGGTTAGCACTTCCGACAACCGCTGCGTACTTCAGCTAGATCTCAAACGCGTCCCCATGCGGTCTAGAGAAATCCACCACCTGGCCAAGTCATTTACTTATGAGCCTGGGGAAGGGCAGTGCAGGCCGAACCTACACTCATGACGGCCAACCGCTACATCCCACACCTTGCGTGAAGAACCTGGGCATACTCTCTCTCCGTGGACAACACGAAGATGCTAAACCGAAACGAACTTTGCACGCTTTGGGTGCTCGAACGCAGCTTCTGTACATGTTCTGGAAAGGTCGACGCTTACTCCTTCGCCATCATAAGAATAATGCTAACGTATAGCTTGACCGTCTATTGCTCTGCCACTCGGAGCGAGATGCAGAAGATCGGACATCTCCCACGCGTCGCAACCCGGCTCATCCCTAGAGTGTGAGAATTAGGGCTGTACACCTTGTCTTATCGACGGGTGCAAGTCGACCTCATCACAGCCTAGGTGACTTCTCCATGCTGAGGCCACCGTCCCAGTTGCAAACACAATGCAACACCTGCAGACACAAGTGCAAGCTTGTGCCAACTGAAGTTGGCGTGTGCCGTAATAGAAGAGAAAACATGAAAAAAGCGAGATACTAAACATTACAGAATAGAAAAGCTATATATATATATATATATATATATACGACATAATGCTAAATCATATCATGATTGTCTTTAAATACACATTACTCTGAGGTTAGATTTCGTGAACAAGCACCGACTGATAATGACTTCTCACATTTGAGTGTCCCAAGTCACCGTGAGTTAGAGTCTTTTCCGATATCAGGTAAGAACTTGAAGCACGGTCAGTGTTGATAGGCCAGTCTTGTTTTCTTAAGGTTCGTGATGATATTTCGATGAAACATACACATATATATGTGAAAATCAATTTGCTATTATATTCACAGATGTGATATACTGTTTCAAATAATGGTACGTTGGTGAACAATGAGGCGACATCCAGAGGGCACTTGGTCAGAGTAAAGGCATCTATCATAATCACAGACATTACACGCCAGCTGAAAGTGAGGAACACCTCGGCTACTGTGCCGCAATACGAAACTATAAGGCATCTACAAAACGGAATATACAATGAAGACCAAGAAAATGTAATATTAAACATAGTAGACAATATGCTTCGAGTAAGAGATAGTGATTGGAGGTATAAGCTAAGCGGGTTGTGGGGCAAAATCCCACAACACAAACGACTTCGCTATGTCAACAAGTGTATCCAACCAAAAGTGTTCATGACCCTTGAGACCACAGCTTGGTAGTCGAGAGGCACTATGCGACGCCAGCTTCGAAGTAAGGGTTTTCATTTCTCTTGACCAAGTCATCGCTTGACCTCCCCTGCTCCTCTTCCAACCACACTCCCGGCGCGCAAACAATGCACGACGCAGGAGTCGGCGTGCTGGGATGCGCAACATGTAGCACAACTATCGGAGCCTGTTGCATGAAAAACGGCGCGGAGCGGTTTGCTTCTTCTTTCTGCGCCATAAACAAGGCGTCGAACACGCTCATTGCTCACAGTGTGTCCACCAGAGCCAAACTGCGAAGGCACCGGCTGTCGAATGTAACTAGCCTCTTTACGTCTGCCGATTTAACGGGCTAGGTTTCAAAACCGTAGAGCAGGGTAGAAAGTACAGCTGTATTGTACACTCCACCCTTCAGGGTGAGAGTGATGTCGCGGCGGTGCCATAGGTGGCGAAAACCACAAGTACTAATGTAACTGCGGTGTCAAATGGCATTTACCAAGCCGCTATGAGCGACTTCGGTAGCTGCATTTAACGCGCGAAGGCTGGCCGCATCCGTAACGTGCTGGATACTTTAAATATTGCTACGTGCTGTGTATTCAAGCCTAAAACTATTGACTCACATGAAAAAACGTAGTAGCAGCGCATAGCCACTCCTTCTCTCGCAATCACAGCAGATGGAGACAAATTGGAGTCATTCACAGCTCTCGCATCGGATCCTTGCTAGTCGAGCGCATTGACGTGTAGTCTTCTGAGTGTAGCGCATTGTACATCAGCTCTGTCATCATTCTATACATTAGCGAGGGGACAGAAAACCCCAGCTACTGTGCCGCAATAGTATTCAATAAGGCTACAGAAAATAACAGCGAAAACATAAAGCATATTGTGGGGCTTTGTTTTATTGATGCACTGACGACGAGATGCTGAGTGGAGGGCGAGGGGCAAAGAAACTCACAACATCAAAGCCATTGAAGTTGGCTCATCGCCATGTCAACAAGTATATCCAATCATTGTCTTTCGGACCGCAGGCCGGGAGTCGAGAAACTCCAAGCGAGGCCAACATTGAAGTGAGGGCCTTCAGTACTCTTGACCAAATCACCGCTTGGCCTCTCTTCTTTTCTTCTATTCGGAGTCATGTCAAGCAAACAACATACGTCACAGGAGCCGGTGTGCTGAAATGCGTAACACTTGGCCATCAGAACCTGGTGTGTTAAATAATGGTGCTCAGAGGTTCAATTCTTCACTCTGCCCCATAAGGCATTAGAAGTACGCCGTGCCGACGCTTCGCAGCCACGCAACCACCAACAGTCGAGTGTGGACCAAGCATACCGCGATGATCGCGCGGTCCACTATGTAGGCTCGAATCGGTGACACCTGGTTCGCAAGGCAGATGCTTTGACCTTTCGATCATTGGCCAGCCCCTGCGCCACAAACAAGACGCCGAACGCCCTCATATCTTACGCGTTCCTTCCAACAGATGTAGCTAAGCTGCGGATGCACCGGCGGTCGAACCTAACAAGGTCCTTTACATCCGTCGATTTGGTGGACCAGGTTATACAACCGCACAGGAAGGTTGAACAGACGGACGCATTCAAATAAGTGTGATAAAGTAGTAGGAATCCGGACAAAAATTCTTCTGGTTTCGAGAATGTGACCAAACTAGCAACTACGAGCGAGCCAAGAAAAAAAAACCTAGGGATTCGGAAATAGGTGAATCAGGAATTTCGATTAACCACCACAAGTTCCTAGAACCGATCTCTAGAAAGTTATATCAATGAGGAAAACAAGCAGAGCGCAGGTGCAGTAATTTATGGTAAAGAAGTTGTCTAGCCACTAAATGGAACATATTCATTAGGAATTCAGCTGGTTTCTTGCCTTTTCAGTTGTTACGTGCACGGTAAACCGTGACTCGTTGGCTAAGTGGCATGTTCTGAATACCAGATTCGAAGTAATCTTCGAGACTATTATGCCATTAGTTCCCAATCAAGTGTCCGAAGATGTAATAGAGGAAAAGGATGGCTCGTTAAGTTTGGGGAATCCATTAGTGACTACACTCACAAAGGGTAGTCGCGATGTGTAGCAGACAATAGGGTTACTATTTTAGCACCAGGGGTGGCGAGGTGCCTGAAGTTCATTTTATCCGCCATCGTTTGTCAAACGGGAAGCCTGAATGACGGAATAGCATACAGCCTTTTGACCGAGATGATGGACTGCACTTTCACTGTGGCAGATACTGCGGTAGCGTCACATATGCCGTAAGTCGGCTGTAAAAATGGTCCTCGATATGATCAGTGCGTTTGACATAGTCGATCATTTAATCCGGTTCAATATAATTGCCCGCAAAGGTATCTGAACGAAATACACCGACAAGCTACAGAGTAAAGACGCGTTGCCAAATGTCTTGTGTGACAGCCCATCCTCCAGATTTCTACTCGAGTCAATCGTATATTTTGTTATGACATGTTCCTAAATAGGACCTTAAGGGCTCAATCCGGGAGCGAGGAAACATGAACACTAACCCACGACAAACTTTAAGGGATAAATTTCGGGCCATCGGTGAGTGAACAGTCGCTGCAAAATCAAAGGTGTGCTCCCAGATGTTAAGAAGAGGAAATCATTCACGATAGCAGTAGCAGTGACGGGGGTACAACGGCTGAAAATAACTCCCAAACTGTAAGTGCTAGAAAAAGAAATAGTAATACAATAAACAAATCGCCAGTTGCACGCCGTTGCGGCGCTTCGCTGCTACGCGACCATCACCGGTCACGCGTGGGCTGAGTACACTGGGAGAATGCCCACCTATACGCGAATTCAAACCGGTGACCTTATGGTTGCAAACCAGGCGCGCAGAGCACTCGGCCACCGGCCGACATACATTAATACTGGAGACTAGAGCGATGACAAAGCTCACCGTCGTGAGTGAAAGATCATCAGCGGCAAGTGATAACGATACACTTTAATCAATCGCACATATAATATTAAACCAAGAATAAATCAACAATAACGTAATCCAGTCAAGTATCCTCAACATATTAATCGATCAGCCCGAGGACACCGTTAACTAGACGAAGCAACGGAAAACAACGCACATGCGAAAGAGATCAGTTAGCTGGCTATCGAGAAGAAACGCTTAATAAGGGTAGGTGGTTTCCGTAGAGAATCAGGAACCTATTTGAAACAATTGGCTGATATCAGTATCATACAATTAGCAGATAATTGTAGCGTCGATAAAACCGAATGAGTGAGACGATGACAGCAATATGTCAGAAAAAAGCAAAATCGTCTCATTGCAATGTAAATGGCAAGTGTACCGAGACACTATCACCGTACCCAAGTAATGCGCGATGGGTCTCCTAATGTATTTGGTGAGAAGCAGGGATTTCAGATTGTGCGCTGAGATGCTGACACCCTCAACGAGCGTTTATCAGTTTCTAGGATCCTTATTAGCTGAAACAAGCGGAGACTTGTTAGGATGAGTACCTCTATAGAAGTGGATCAATGAACTATACATGGGCCAAAATCTAACATTTTATAGAAATCCGGCAGAATAATCGAATCGGTCGATCAAAAAAATGTTCTCGGGCAATATAGTACCATCATTAGTAAGTGAAGAACAGAATAGAAAGCACCCAAGGTCACCAGGATTATGTAAAGATCGGTAATTTGTGCCATATAATAGTTCTTTATTTTTTAGCCATTAAACCGATGACCAAAGCTTGTCTTCTTGATCAGCCAATCGGAGCGATCAGGCACCAAAGCAACAAGGCGCGACCTTAGGGACCACAACAGACTATTCAAGAAAACAGCTTTCTAACATGCCAAGTGGCACTGGAAAAATTAACATTGGCTATCAGTCGTTTCGGGACCTGCTTTGCACCGTGGAAATGCAAAGTCCCTTTCAAAGACTGGTAGGGGCCCCCCTGTGCTGGTCATTGGTGGTGGTCAGTTGGAAGTGGTCGAGAAATTCAAGTTTCTGGATAGCTTGATAAGCGCCAGTAGAACAGATGAGATCACGAGCACACAGCAAAAGCTCGAGGCGCTGTTGCCAATCTCCGGTACCTGTGGCGCCGGAGTGACATTACTCTCGCTCTGAGGTGCAGTTTACAACGCAGCCGTCCGTACAACCTTCCTGGCACAGTTGCAAACCATGGCCCACCAAGTCGACAAACTTAAAGGGGCTTGTTACGTTCAACCGTCGCTGCCTTCGCAGCATAGCACATGTCTAGTGGGAACACCGCGTGAGCAATGAGCGTGTTCGGTCTCACGTATTTGGCGTAGGAAGAGAGAACCACTCAGCACCATTATATCACGCGCCAGGCTCCGATGGCTAGGCTACGTGTTGCCCACGCCAGCCCACCGACTCCCGCGACATGCGTTGTTGGTGCGCCCGCGGCCTGGATGGAAGAAGAGGGGAGGCCAAGCGTTGAGTTAGTCCAGAGGAATGAAGTCGCTCACTTCGAAGTTGGCGCCGGTTGGTGCGTCCCGACTGCCTGGCTGGGGTCCGAAGGACGATGAACACGTGTGGTTGGATACACTAGCCGACGTAGCGAAGAGCCGATCTCAGTGGCGTTTGTGTTGAGTCTGCTTGTCCTTCCCCTCCCCTTTAACTTCCCCCTCCAACAACGACCTCGAACCCTATGCATTATTCCTTTTTATGGCTTGTTTAATCGCTTATCTTCAATGTAGTGCGGCACATTAGCTGTGGTGTGTTTGCCAGCCTCAGCTAACATGTGTTGACGATGACACAAGAAAACCGCATGAACGAACTAAGTGCTCCACTCTACTAGGGAAAGATGGACGGTAATATGGAAGGTTGAGAAACGTTATTCAACGCAAAGATTTAAGCGAGGATTAAGGGGTGTGACGATCCGTCATGAAAGAGCTCAAATTAACCGAGCAACTGCATGTAAGTTTTTCGCGTGAGTCTAGTGAAACTGATCTTCGTGAACAGTGTTCCCGGGTACAGTCCCGGGACGCGAACCGATAGTTACGAAGGTACCTGTTTACGACAGACCATGCACAGTCCAGCTTTATCTCACCGAGCACAAGTATGGTTGAATGAAATATCAACGGCAGTATTCCTGATACGATAAGCTTCAATGAGCCAGTAAATAATACTGCTATGGGGGAGTAAGTGGAATACACCATTTGACAACTAACGGAGCGAATCAATGGATGCGATGCGTTTCGATTTTAACAATAGGGAAACCTCCATGGCAACAATTTAGTAAAATACACGTGTAAGCAGCTAAGCAATGTGACTGGCTTCTAAGAGGATGCAACTACTAACGCTTTGGTAGCCGAATGGAGATTGCCGCTCAGCCAAGAAGGGAAGATCTGACCACATGTGAGCAAGTATGAGACTATTAACAGAATGTTAGGCAGGCAAACAGCTCGAATATATATAGAGGAGTCAAATGCAAGCAACATGACTACAAAGTAGTAGGCCGGTGTGAACTTCAGGTAACAAGAATGTTCGACCATCACTAGAATAAAAAATGTTTGATATTCAGCACTCGAAAACTATACCTGAACAAGCTCGCGATCCATCTTGCGGCATTTGACAACGACTTCAGGCTCCAAAAGTTGGAAAAGACACTGAAAAATGAGTAAAGCAGATTCATGAAGGTAATCGTCGAGAACTATAGAAACAACGCAGGTATCCAAAGTGTGCCGGAAAATAATCACAGCTTGAGGACGGATGTCGAGATAGTCAGCTATGGTTTATGCATCAGAGTGTGGTGGAGTCAAATCAATGAACCTTAATGAAAAATGGGGGGGGGGAATAAACAAATAAAATGAGTTACGGTAAGGTAACAGATAAAGACGCCTGCATTTCTGAATGGAAATTCCAGAAACAAGGAGAAAAAGAGTAAAGATAAGAACCCTACAGACCGTGACCGCACCAAACTTAAGTGTCATTATCAATGGTCCCGACCTAGACAGTCCCATTCAAAATGCCGATAGGCACTTGATGGATTCAACCTATTTGGCCAAATGACATTTTGGTTACTTCAAAACTTAGTTCAAGTATAAGATCCAACATGGAACAGAACTATAACATATTCTTCTGACGACGAAAGTGGTTTGATCCAAGTGGGGCCAAATGAGATCAAGAATTCCCAAAATGTGACTATGATAAAGGTCATGTTTGCATATGTGAGAAAAAGAACAGATTGGTAGGAGGAAAATCAGAGCCTAGTCCGCAGCTGAGTTGCCAAACAACTTCTCGGTGGTTCCAGCTGTGTGGCTCGGACATTTCCAGTTGCGGCGAATGCTTCGGCAGCGGATTTACGCCCGGCAAACGTTCGCCCTATAAATAGCCACAAGTATCTACTTAACAACACGGCGGCGTGATGGATGTGACTCACAAATAAATAAAGTCACTGCTCCCTGTAGTTCTTAGACATTGTACATCGGCAAGCAATCGGAGCATACGATGCAGCCTTTGAGTTCGAGTGTTGGGTACTTAGCATGGCTCCAAGGTGTAGGCGCCTTGACTCTAAATGTTTGCTTAGGGCATTACGGTTTAGGTAAGTCCTCCTTCTCTCCCTCTTATTATTTCTTATGCCATGGTTGTATGGCAGTGAAGCATCAGTTTAAATGGCTGATGTGCTGTTGTTATGGCTCCAAACGAGTGTAAAACACTTACCTTGCCTTGCTGGCTTGTGCGTCAGGCACTTTGGCCAAAGACTCGGGACGGTGGTCCCACCAACTTCGGTCCAGGCAGCCGCGATTTTCTTCCCCCATTGATGAACCACGGAACAACATAACTACGTTCACTCTCGCTCTTATAATGATCCACAGTCCTGCTACTATGTCAAGTTTACAAACACAAGCCACCAATTTAACTACCCTTCCATTGTACCATTCATCCCCATTGTTACTTGATTCTGCAACTGTGAACAACTTTACCTCCGGCGATGATGTTCTCTTACCATCCGTCAAAAGCCATCCACCGACACCGTTTGTGTTGGGTCGGCCACGTATTACGCATCCTAGCCTATCGTCGAAAGTTACTTGAGATTCCCGGAAGTAAGTGAAAAATGCTGCGATGGACAACCAATGACGTGGTACATGAGGATGAAGGCAACGACAAGTTTAGCATTCATTGCAGTGGTCCGCCTTCCAGGATGGTAACCATGCGAATCGGACTCCCAGTGGATGGAAACGCTGGGTGTCTGAATGTATAACAGACATCAGTGTCGTTCGACCTCATCATCTATCAGTTTATGTGTAATCGAAGAGAAAAACTCAAAATGGTGTGTGAAAAAATATAAAACTCGTATTCAGTTATGGTGTTTCGTTTCCGCTTTTTGCCAAAATTCTAATAGCATCATGAGCAACATCACCAATACACATTAGCTGAGGGTGAGAAACACACCTCAGCTAATATGCCAGAATACAAAAGGATGTGATCCCAAAAAATTACACTACAAAGAATTAAAAAGCAAAAGAATCAAAAAACAATATAAAGTCAAATATTATATTGTGTGATTCGTATGAGATCGTAATTGGCGGAGGAATCTAAAGGGAAGAGGATGAGCAAAGAAACTCATAATCCAAAAGCCATTGGGGCCAGTTATTCGCCATATCAGCAAGTGCGTCCAAGCAAACGTGTTCATCGTCCTTGGGACCGCAGCTAGGCAGCCGGGATGCATCAACCGATGCCAACTTCGAAGCGAGGGTTTTCATTTCTCTCGACTAAGTCATTGCTTGACCTCCCCTGCTCCTCTTCCAACCGCACTTCTGGCGAGCAAATAGCGCACGCCGCGTGAGTCAGGGTGCGGGTATGTGCGAAACGTGGCCCAGCCATCGGAGCCTCGTGCGCGATGCAATGGTGCTGAGTGGTTCACTCGATATTCTTGCCCCTAGTACACGACGCCGAACACATTACTTGCTCACGCGGTGCTCCCACCAGGCATGAGTTGAGCTACGAAGGTTGCGATGGTCGAAAGTAGCTAGCCTCTCTATGTTTGTCGACCTGATGATGCACGTTTTACGGACGGCTGCATGGTAAATTCTGTCCCTCAAGGGGACAGTGAAGTCACGTCGGAGCCACAGATGGCGGAGATTGGCAAAAGCACCTCGAGCTTCTACTATACCGTTCGTAACCTTATCTTTAATTCCATGGGTGCTAATATAGCTTCCCAAGTACTTGAATTCCTGAACGACTTATAGCTGATCACCAACAAGGGTCAGCGCAGGGGTAGGTCCCTGCCAACCTTGGAGAAGGATCTTGTATTTCGAGGAAATAAAGCTGAACCAAAACCAACTGATAGCCAGTGCTATTTGTCACGTTTGGGCGTTGTCACAAATGTGTGCAATATCGTCCGCATACTCTTAGTCAAGAAGTCGTTCACCAGGAAGCAGCTCCACATCTGGTAAGTAGTGTCCAGCGAACGCTGTTTCAATGACTTCGTCAATAGCGAAGTTAGAGAGGAAAGGTGACAGCGGCCAAACTTGTCTCACACCGCTGGAGATAATGAAGGGCGGCGACATTTTGCCATAAACCCTCACTCTGCCCGAGCTGTGCGCGTACAGCGCCCTAATAATATTTACGTATTTTTCGGGCGTACCTTTCCTGAGCAGACAGTCCCAAAGGGCACATCGATCAACCGAATCGAAGGTACCTTTTATGTCGAGAAACACGACAACAGTGGGTCGCCGATAAATATGGCGATGCTCCAACTATTGACGTAAAATAAAGATGTGGTTGATGCAGCCCGTAGTTCGATGAAACCTGGCTTGCTCCTCGCGAATCTGACTTTCACGAGTGCCAGTCTGTCTGTGGGGAACGACAGACGCAAGCAATTTAGAGGCAATTGAGATCAGAGATCTCTCTATGACTGTTGCATTCCGAACGAGAGCCTCCCTTAAAAATTGGGACTATAAGGAAGCAGCTCCAATCTGTTGGGACAATGTCCTGCTCTCACTAGTGACTCGTGTAAATCGTCTGCAAGAGCAGGTCTACCGAATTTGAAAAGAGCTGGAGGAGTTCTATCTGCCCCTGCGTCGTTCTTCAATTTCAACAGTCTGGTCACACGTTCGGTTTCTGTGCGAGAGGGCGCACCCACAGAGATGACTCAGGGAGTAAAGCGTCCAACAGCCGATGTGGAAGCTGATAACTGACGGATTGAACCGCTCAGTGTTCGGCCCAACGCTATAAGTTTTGACAAGCAGTGGACCGGATGTCCACTCTCGCCGCGTATGGTCTCGCTAACACCAGGTCTACTGCTGGCCGTTTCTTGCACCGGACGGATAACTTACCACGGTTACTAACGACAGCGGCTGTTTTCTTTTCCAACGCAAGATGAGACCACCAGACTTCGCGGTCTCTTTTCAGGCTAGCACGTAGTTTTGCCCTGAGATATATGTTAGTCTCATTACGTTCGCTTCCGTTCGGAATACGTCGGGAAGCACTTAGAAGTTCCAGGGATTGTGTTAAGACTCAAAGTAATTGGAGTTGGTAATTGGATTTGCCACATGAAGACATGCCTGCTGATAGTGACGTCTGGCGGATATGCGACCATTGACCCTCAACGGTATTCAGTGGGCGCTAACTCAGCCCGAATGCCAAAGTACTTTGATACGCATTCAGTTTCGTCAGTTGGCTGCTGTCTATGAACGCACAACGATGCTGCGGACGTCCGTAAAAACGCACCCGAAAGTCCGCACACAAGAGCGCGATCGGAGTTTGCGCTCGTGCTCCAAATCGAGCGACAGTTTTGGACGCAGCCTTTCCAGCTGTAACTAATCGCGATGTGATCGATTTGCGTCCATGGCTGGTGGGTGCCAAGTCACTCTTCTGCGAGTGCTGTGTCGAAAATTGGTGCTAGTGACAAAAACGAGCATCTTCACACACAGGTGAAGCAACCGCTCAACGTTATCATTACGAAGGCCTACACCATGTTGGCCGCCCAGATGCAGCTCATCACTGCACAGTTTTCCGACTTGGGCGTTCATATCCCCAGCAAGCACCCCGATATCCGTACTTTTTCTGTGACGGAGGAGCGCATTCTGTTGGTGATAGAATTCATCTTTCCCTGAATCCGTGCAATGACAAACAGGCAACGTTTGTCCACGGGCGACTTCGAAGCCTGGGACGAGTCAGTCAATCTAACGGCACACATTCGGCTGTTGACTGGAATCCAATCGGCCAGGGCAGCTTGAGCCAGGGGACGCAAAACAATGCCCACGCCGGCTTGAGCGGCACATGAGGCTGCGTCACCTCTAGACAGGAGCGATGAGAATATGCCGCCAGTGTTGCATATGGGGTTAAGCATAAGACTCAAATCTTGCAGGCGGGTTTCCGATAAACAGCAAATATCTATCAATAGGGTCTCTAGTGTTAGGACAACTGCAGTCAATCTGCATCAAAGTGCGCACGCTGAGGCATGTCATTTAAGTAGGATTGAGGGCTTCAAAAAAACGGATGAACTGACGTTGCGCGCTTGGCTGATCATGGACTTGTCGACTGGACCAGAGAGACGCCCAGCGATTGGGTGTGAGTTGAAACTAGTAGATGAGCGACTAGTGAATCAAGACGGGAGAGGGGCGAGAATTTAGGGGTTGAAACAGGGGGTTAAAAGTGAAGT